TCATGAAACTATAACACTAATAGCCTTTTACAGGCACACTTAGTTCAATAGCCTATTGAAATGTCTTGGCCTATATGACACTAGAAATTTCAGTTAGTTTTAATTTACAGTGCAGTGCAAATTAAGGCATAAATCAATTTAATTGATCTTTTAATCAAATGAGAGTTACACTTTTTATTTTTTTGGCAAACAAAAGGTTTACTATTAAAATTAAAACATGGAAGAAATAGCGTATTGTGTACATGCAGGATTCATAATTAAATAGTATTTTTGCGCCTTAATATTTACAGATACTAGTCCATATCGCGACTCTAAGTGTACTGACCTACTTTTGATTCATTCATCCAAACTTTGACAAATTCCGTGACATTCCGCGTCATACAGTAAATTCCATTTATATGACTGGATTCCACGATTCCTTCCACATTTTCTGCATCGGGGAAATCATAGATAATATTGAGGTGTTTTGCAACTTCAGTGTAACGTTAGTGGATTGTGATTTATTGCAACTTAAGCAACGTCTGCTGCTGCCTTACCTTACCTAGAGACAACTGATGCGTGATCACTGAAGCAGCTCCAGTTAGCATGCGCTTTCGGAATGAGAGTGAATTCCGCATTAATTGGTCGGACTCGTGACTCCCAACAAATCAGATGGGCGGTGGGCGGAGATTGCTTTAGGCCACAGAGTGGTGAGTTCTCACAGGCTGCATCAGAGCCAAATAGCGCGTTTCAAAATTAAGTTATTTTATCAGCGAATCGGTTTTGAAAATGACCAATACCGATAAGAGACTGCTTTAGGCCACAGAGTGGTGAGTTCTGACAGGCTGCATCAGAGCCAAATAGCGTGTTTCAAAATTAAGTTATTTTATCGGCGAATCAGTTTTGAAAATGACCGATACCGATAATCATAAAAATGCTTAATATCGGCGCCAATAATTGGTCGACCCCTAATTCAAACATGATGCATTTGGAAAACGTGACCTTTTCTAACCCAGATAAATGTTCCTCACTGGCTATTCGTCACTAGGCCATGGGTCAAAAATGATTGCAATGTAAAGTGTTTAGTTTTTAAAAGAACAAATTTTAGGCCAAAAAGTGAATCGGATGTCCCTGGATTTGGTCTACTTGAGTGATGATAATTTGTTTCTGAAACCCACCTCATGTTAATAGTTTATTATTGTCATAATATCATTTTAATAAAAAAAACATTTGGCGGGTATTTGAACGACTTGTCAATAAAAAAGGATCAGTATTAGTTATGTCATAGCTATGACCCATGATTTTGTACTAGCAAGATGGTGGCAAAAATCTGTAGTGAAGAATGAGTCATCAATATTTTTTGTCTATTTTCCTTGAAAAGAAAGGTGGTTGATCCTTGGTTTGCAGGATATTTTATTCCATGCTGTCTGTTTCTCAGATTGATGAGCCTAATGCCTTTGGAAACACTGCTCTCCATGTGGCCTGCTACACGGGACAGGAGGCCGTAGCCAACGAGCTGGTCAACCGTGGGGCCAACGTCAACCAGCCCAACCACCGCGGCTACACACCCCTGCACCTGGCTGCCGTGTCCACTAACGGGGCTCTCTGCCTGGAGCTGCTGGTCAACAACGGTGCTGATGTCAACATGCAGGTCTGGATAGGGAAACGGGAGTGGTTTATTAATGCATTGCTCTGATTGGATGATCTAAATGTATTTGACTTGAATTTTTGTATCCTTTCTCAATGTTTTTAAGCTTTAGGAAAGACATTCCTTTATTTTTTTCTTTTCCACAGAGTAAAGAAGGGAAAAGCCCTTTGCACATGGCAGCCATTCATGGACGTTTCACTCGCTCTCAGATCCTTATTCAAAATGGTTAGTTACTTTCCTTTTTCACTCAATTTCCAATTCCTTTTGTAGTATTTAACCCCCACTTGTTGTCTCCTCAGGTGGGGAGATAGATTGTGTGGACAGATATGGCAATACTCCTCTTCATGTTGCTGCTAAGTACGGCCACGAGCTGCTTATCAGCACCTTAATGACAAACGGTGCTGACACAGCCAGGTAAAAACATGTTTGTTAAGTGAGACTTTGTTTAGGTGTTTTTGTTTTCTTGCTTTGTAGTGAGTGGAGTAAAGTCATATTTTACAATATAACAATTGCATAATGTCTTTATCATACAATCTTAAGCAAATTCTGTGGCTAATGATCATGAATTACATTTATGCAAAATGGTATGTGGGGCTGAAGCGGTGTTATTTTAGTATTAATTATAAATTATAGTATATTCTAATTTATTTTTTGTAGTTTTCATCTTGATTTTAATTTAAGTTCAAGTAATTTTATGTGCTATTTTTTTTTCAATAATTCTTTAAAAAGTTTAGTACTCTTCAGAGAGTACTTTAACTTGTTCAGTTAGTTGCCATGACTACATTTCATTTTTATAAGTTTCAGTTTTTCATGTAATATTTATATTTTAGCTTTATTGTAATTACTAAATTGCACATTTTATCATATGATTTAGTTTTAGTTAATAACATCAGCACTGGGCTAGAGTGTGTCACTGGCTCAATAAGTAGCAAGAAAGAGCAAAAATAAAAAATCATATAATGTTGCAAGTCATTGCAAAATGTTGAAGATTGGATCACTACATTAAAAAAATTTGAATATTATACATTTCCTCGCTTGTTCATGAAAATGTGAGAAAAGTTCCGTTAATAGCAGACACCCTCACATATAATTAGGTGTATTTTTCATGTGCATCTCATTTCTCCTTGTATTTCTGACAATTTAGTTAAAAATGGCAGTCTTACCCCTCTTCCAAAAGGAATTTGCATTTACAAGGAAACTGATTCTAATCTCCTCTCAGTTTGCATGTTATCTGCTTGTGGCATGTGTAATGAAATAATTTGCTTATTTGTCCTCTTTGTACAGACAAGGAATTCATGGGATGTTTCCTCTACACTTAGCTGTGCTCTACGGGTCCTCTGACTGTTGTCGTAAGCTACTTTCCTCAGGTACGCACAATTTCTCCCTATACAGTGACCAATTACAGCAAGGGCCAAATGAAAATGGTTTTGTCCCTAGACTATATTGTATATGTCCTTGTCCCTTAGGGAAGTGCTGTGATTGTAATAATATGGTACTAAATAGTTGTCATATTTATGTGCATGTTACTTCAAAAAATGTCAAATCCCATGCTACTTCATTAGTAATAGACTGAAGTCTTAAAGCAGTCCATTAACTGCTTTTCACAATAACCGATTTCCTGCCAGCCAAAGTGACAGTGTTTTCCTCTAACTAACACTGCATTGACTTTTGCAGGTCAGCTCTACAGCATTGTGTTGTCAATGAGTAAAGAACACGTGCTCTCGGCCGGATTTGACATCAACACCCCAGACAACTTTGGGAGGACCTGTCTACACGCTGCTGCCTCTGGAGGGTGAGGCTGCAGCTCTACTTAGACTGGGCTATTTAAAAAGCCACTGGCCCACTTTATATCAGGTGTCCCATATAACAGCGTTTTATGCGCACAAATGCCAACCAAGGTCGTTTTGCTGATTCTGACTCAACAGCCAGCATCTGAATGTAATTGAAAAAGATGTTTAACATATTTATTTATGCGTATCCTTTATTTTCTTCATTCAGGAATGTTGAATGTCTCAACCTGCTCTTAAGCAGTGGAGCTGACATGAATAAGAAGGACAAGTTTGGAAGGTACAAATCTTCTTTCTTTGATAAAATGGGATGCTCACAATTTCTGTCATGATCATGTCTGAAGTGTGCATGATGTAAATATTCCTTATGCCAAGTAGTGATGCTCTGCAATCATTTTTTTTATGACATTTAATAATCAACACTCAAATATACAGTTTTTATGTCAACTTTTTAATTATATAATTTTGTCAAAAAATGTATTTCGGCTGATTGTTTTTGGTTTCAGTGCATTCCGTGCAATTTCTTCTCTTTAATATAGGATTTTGGCATGAAGTATGCTGAACTTTTTTTAGATTTAGCAGTATGCTGAGTGTTTAAATTTGTCTCTCCACCAGGACTCCTTTGCACTATGCGGCTGCTAATGGGAGGTATCAGTGTGCGGTGGTTCTGGTAGGAGCGGGGGCGGAGGTCAACGAGCGTGACCGCTCTGGCTGTACACCTCTACACTACTCAGCTGCATCGACTGCATTCTGCAGGTGAAATGCACTCACACACACCCACACATCATCTTGCATCTGTTAAATATAATAGTGCATGGTGTACACAGCATTACTGATTTCTGGTGTCTTTCTCAGAACGGACCGACCCCATGCCAGCACCCATCAGAACCAAGAGGATGGGGAGAAGGAATCCTTCCTGTAAGTTTTGGTTTTTTGTTTGTAAATTAAGTTCTGTACCTAATCTTAGCAGCTCTTACTTGAAGTTTGTTTTTTCCACTTGAATTATTTAAATAATAATTACATTATATATGCTTTACACTTATGTCACGTGTCACATGACCATCTGGAGTGGAACACTCTTTGAACACTGTTTAGTGCTAGGGGTGTGTAGTCCCCTAGTGGTCCATTAAGGTACTGCACAGTGTTTCAAAGGTCTCCCAGGGGTCAGCAAAGTAGTTTAGAAAATAATTAAGAAACAAACAATTTATTTAGCAAGGATGCATCTTCAGCTATACTGTATAATGTAACATCTATGTTACAAAAGTTTCTGTTTGATTCTGTTCTGAAGAATCATGTGACAATGAAGACTAAAGTAATAATAAATTACATTTTAAAATGTATTAAAATAGAAAAAAAATATTTTAAATCACAGTTTCACAAATTACTATTTTTACTTGATTTTAACAAAATAAATGCTGTGTTGGTGATCACAAGAGACGACTTTTAAAAACATTTCAAAATCTTACATACCCCAAACTTTTGAATGTTAGTGTGACTATGAGGAAAGTTGTTTTGGTCTTTGAGTCTCATGCATTTTGATACTTTCAGGTGTGTGGAGCATTTGTTGGATAATGGTGCTGATCCATCTCTGTGCAACACTAAAGGATACAGTGCTGTGCATTATGCTGCAGCCCATGGCAACAAACAAAACCTGGAGCTGGTGAGATTGATCTTTCACTTTAATATCATCCACTGTGATTTTTAACATTTTTCTTACAGTACAACACTTGATACATGCTTCATATTTTGTTCTTGATTCTGTAGCTTTTGGAGATGTGCTTCAACTCGCTAGGAGACAAGGAGAGCAATGGGTCTATCAGCCCACTACACTTGGCGGTATGTACAAAATGTCAAGACATAAAAATCAGCAGCAATATAGATCAACAGATATTCTGTAATTCTGCAGAGAACTGCCCCCTGTTGGTCCAAAAATAGATATATAATGAGCTGATATTAAAAGAAATGACTTTTTCCGCTCTCCTTTTGCTGTCAGGTGGAGTCGGGTCACTGGGAATGTGTCACCGTGTTAATTGAGTCTGGAGCGTATGTGGATGCCTGTGACCCGGTGGGGCGCTCTGTGCTGTATGTGGCCTCTCAAAGAGGACATGCTCGCTGCGTAGAGCTGCTGCTCTGCCAATCAGCATCTTGCCTGCTCACAGAGCACCGCAGCAAATGGGGCCCTCTTCATGTTGCAGGTACAGAGAGCACGTATGTGTAAATTGGCTTGTGAATCTTATCTTTCTGTGGGATTTTTGACAAGTTGCTGTGTGTTTTTTGTTGACAGCTGCCAACGGCCACTCAGAATGTCTGCGGATGCTGCTCTGTAGCGAGAGGGGAGCCGACCTAGTTAATGTTACAGATGCAGAGGGACAGTATGTATGAGCTAATGGCTCTTTTACTTCATCTTTTCAATGCTTTTTTATTGTTTTGCTCATGTTCACAGCATTCATTTTAAGTAAACAAGGTAACACTTGACAGGTAATGCATCTTGCATAATCTGATTGAATCTAATGATTTACAATAATTTCACTCTAAAAAATGCTGGGTTAAAAACAACCCAACTTGGGTTATTTGGCAACCCAGCGCTGGGTAAATATTAGACAGAATACATGCTGGGTTATTTTGACCCAGCGATTAGGTAGAAAAAATAACCTAGCATTAAAAATGACCCAGCAACTTAATTACAGAAAAACTACCTAGCACCTAGGTAAAAAAAATATTAAAAATAACCCAATAAAATGACCCAACAGGCTGAATCCAGCATTTGCGTTAAAAAAATAACTCCGCCCCTGGGTAAAAAATATGAAAAATAACCCAATAAAATTACCCAACAGGCTGAACCCAGCATTTGGGTTAAAAAAAATAACTCAGCCCCTGGGTAAAAATATTAAAAATAACCCAATAAAATGACCCAACAGGCTGAACCCAGCATTTGGGTTAAAAAAAATAACTCAGCCCCTGGGTAAAAATATTAAAAATAACCCAATAAAATGACCCAACAGGCTGAACCCAGCATTTTCAGAGTGTTGGAATAAACTTATAAAAAGTATAGTATTATTTTTATGTAATTTTTTATAATAATTGTATTTACATTTTTATGTTTGTATTTATAATTATATTGATTTGTTAACATTAGTTATCATATTAAAATTATAACTAAATAATAGTTATAAAATTATAAGTATTTAACTCGAAGGTCTGCATGTGCAACGAAGGCTTGAGCCTGTAGCTGGACCGTAATAACAATTATGATCTGTGACAAGACTGTAATACGCAGTTTGTCTGGGTTCCACAAAACTTGAAACAAAAAGAGATATTTTAGCATTTAATAAATATTTTAGGTAAATGCTATTCATGTCACAACCTGTGCAGTGTTATTTCATGTTTCAGAAATACTTTTCACTATATATATTTCAGAGATGTAAACAAAAAGACAATTTGGTAATCTCAGTTATTGGTATGACAATTAAGTTTCAAAATATGTAATTCACATAACAGTTCAAACACAAAAAGTCACTTTCAAATAAACAAAAACAAAACAAGCCATGCATAGCACTTAATAAGAGATCCTCATAAAAATTTTAATTAAAATGTTCCCAAACAATGCTGGAAAATAATCATAACTGTATTTATTTTCATCTCACAGTTGTTGATATAATTCTCACTGTTTCTCTCTCTCTTGATAGAACACCACTAATGCTGGCAGTGCTGGGGGGACACACTGACTGTGTGCATCTGCTGCTGGAGAGAGGAGCTTGCCCTGATATGAGAGACAGGAGAGGAAGAACAGCCTTACACAGAGGGGTGAGATTCTCAAATCATTAGTAAAGCTTTTGCTATAGTCCTCATAATGGGAGGTTTCTAACCAGGTCTGTCTTTGTAGGCGGTGATGGGTCGGGAGGACTGTATAACCGCCCTGCTGTCCCACAGTGTCTCAGTCCTCAGCAGAGATTTTCAGGGGCGAACCGCGGTCCATCTGGCCGCCTCTTGCGGCCATGCTGACATTCTCTCCAATCTTCTTTCTGCTGCTGACCACTCCCACCCCCACGACCCAATCACAGACCGCCACGGCTACACACCCGCACACTGGGCAGCCTATCATGGTAAGAGCTCAGACCTTTTGAGCCTCATTGGCTCGTTCGCATTGCTGAAACTGTCATAAGTTAAATAGGTGACTTGCGCTATTTGTGAAACAGGTCATGAAGACTGTTTGGATGTTTTACTTGAACTTAAACCATGTAGTATCCAGGAGGGAAACCCCTTCACCCCACTGCACTGTGCTCTGTGAGTATTGTTTTTTTTCTTTTCGGTTTCAAAGGTGATGTAATTCTTTTTTTTATTATTTTTTTATTATTTGAAATAATTCCTGGGAAAACAGAAACTGAACTGAAAAAGTCGGGAAAATTATTTAAATGTCAAAGTCATGGACATGTCTGTTATAAATAATTCTAGTAATCATCCACTTTTATTTTTTATTTATCATCTTTGCAGTTTGTACCCAGATTACTTCAAATTTAAATCAATAATAGTAATAATGGTGTAAAAAAGGCTCACTAATTTTAAATCGGTTCCACCCCAGTGTACACAACCATTCAAAAGTGTGGTGACAGTAAGATAAAAAAAAACACAGGTAATACTTGTATATGGTAAGGATGCATTAAAATTGACAACAAAGACTTTTACAAAAAATTATATTTTTTTTAATGCAATTGAACTTCCTATTTATCAAAAGAATCCTGAAAAAAATGTATCACAGTTTCTACAAAAATATTATGCAGCACAACTGTTTTCAACATTGATGATAATAAATGTTTCTTGAGCACTAAATCAGCATATGAGAATTAGCATTTTAAAATATAGTAAAATGGAAAACTAAATTGCAATAATATTTCACAATATTTCTGTTTTTACTTTTTTTTTTTTTATCAAATAAATGCATCCTTGGTGAGCATAAGAAACGTTTTTTCAAAAATCATGAAAAAAAATTTCCAACCCCATACTTTTGGATGGTAGTGTACTTGGATACTTGTTCGAAATTTTTTTTTTTACAGCCACCAAAATTAGCCATTGAATCCTTTCTGCGTAGTAAACCCATATATTAAGTTTTTGATATGCAAAGAGTATTTAAATAAAACTACATTGAATATATAATGTATGGTATATGTTTCCTAATCGCCATGCTGCATGTTCTTGTCGTCTCATTGCAGCATTAATGGCCATAGTGGTTCTGCAGAGCTGCTGTTGGAATCCAGTGTTTGTAATTCGCTGGTAAACATCAGGGATGCCAAAGGAAGGTTGGTGCAAGTAGTAGGGATGCGCCGATCCGCTCACAAGACTTTTGAGAACTGGATCTTGAAGTCTAGAGTTTTTGCTTCAAAAATATGTGAAAATCATCTTACTCACTCATTTACGGAAAACAATATATTGATTTAAATTTTCTAAGACACTTTTTGTGTAGAAAAGGTATATGCGAGTAGGCGTGAATGATCATGAATAATGCTG